GCATCAATCTTGTTGGCAAATATCGTATATTGACTAATATATCGGCATATATTTAAATACTAAATCCAAAGTACAATATAACTACTAAATTTAAATTATCGGACTTGTAATGTTGGAACGTTGTAAACGTTCCTGGTTAAATATCTGAAGTTTCTCGATTAATAAGCGTTAATCACAGCTATAGCTCACGAAGTTTATAGCACACTAACATTAGCAAACCAATAATAGATACAACTTTTTTAACGCGTCGCGTTGTTTATATTTATAGGCGTGAGAAGAGTTTCTAGAAAATTCAGATTACGTAACAATAAAAAGCTACATTAAGCGTTTACGTACATATATTGTTGATTCTTACACTCGAGAATCTTCTACAACATTAAAGAATAGGCAGGAGTTTCGCAATACATATTTAACATTATAAGCTATGCATATTTCTAAATATAAACTTAATCTAAATAAACTTTGATATGAAAATAAATATATAATAATAAATCCATCACAAAGTATTTTCAAATTTGAGAAGAACGTCGTCATACTTAATCAAAATATAGTTTCCAAAGAATAATTGTCATAATTAACAGCCCCCCAGTGGCACAGCGGTATGTCTGCGGACTTACACGCTAGAATCCGGGTTTCGATACCCGTGATGGGCAAAGCACAGATAGCCCATTGTGTAGCTTTGTGCTTAATTACAAACAAACAAACATAATTAACAAAAGAAAAAATCAGGTACAACAACTGTTATAATTAATTGTGAATTATATGAAAAAAATAGTAATGAATAATACCATACATTCGGATTTAGTAATACATAGTAATGAAAATAACTATGTACGGAAACAGAACAATTTGGTCGTAATCTAAAAGTAAATAGTCATAAAAATTAATTTTCGTAAGTTATGGTAAATCTCTAGATAAAATATTGAGCATGACTGTTTCAAGCAGAACGTTTGATTCAAGGATCAAATCTATAAGCACAGAGCAAAATGATTTAGCAACTTAGGCAACTGTA